TCTCCAAACAGATTATTCATTACCATACTGTATGAATGACATCAGTATATGAAATGAAACACATAATACTGTGTTTTTTAATATTTTCATTATTTAGGCAAAATATGTACTCTTCACCAGGCATTCATTTTCCTTGAAAAATGCTCAATAAACTCCATCTCTGACTGATTTTCCTCAAATATTTCTTCAATAAACGTTTTATCTATTCTCAGGTTTTCACGAAACTGGGAGATAAACTGTAATGATTCAAGTCATATCATTCTAGTGACACATCAATATAAACCAATCACTTCATTATCCATTCTCAGGTATTCAAGAAACAGGAGGAATAAAAGGCCAATATAAATCTATCATTTATTAGTTAAAATTCATTCTTAAGAAATATTACCCAAAATGTTTTTCTTTCCCTTGCATGGATTCTGTGAAATCAATAGCTAGTGAACGGACACAACATGAAATTCAAATAAGGATTCGTATTGTCTTACACCTTGCTTCCTAACGAGAATAAGGCAATCCTAACTTCAACGCTTGGGTGAGGGAATGGGGGGCATCAGTTTGCAAAGTGCAATCAACAACTTTCTCCAAAAGCACTATAAAAATAATATGAAATACAAATCAATAGAAAAAAAAAATCTACTTTACAAGCAACTACGAATACATTTTTGTTGTTGTTTTTTCTTTCCTGTTATGGGATATGTCTTTTCAACAACTAGCGACTGTGTAAGACCTATCCTTTTATTTTTCTATCAATACTGGAATCCAATAGTAAATTTATGTGAAAGTTGTACTCATATTAAACCCTTTTTTCTATAATTTCACTAAATTTCATTTTATTGTTGATAACTGTTTGCTTCATAAATCTTGAATGCAAGTCCCAGGAAAGAATCAGAAAAAATATATATCTATATTATATGTATAATATTTACATGTACAAAAAAAGTGGGGGAAATAATGTTTGACAAACAGAGGAGCATCTAATCACTTTCACAAAGGTGCTTCGGGTATACATTAGGATCCATAAAAAGGGAAAAACAACAAAATGAACACATCGTTCAACCTTACGAGGTTAAAACAACAAGAAAGAGGAAGTGGGGGATGATCGGTGAGAAATGACGTGACACATTGTAGGAACTCGAGTCCTCCCATTCATGCAATCATGAAAGTAACACTCATAACAGTAATTAAAAAAGAAAAAAAAAAGTAAAAATAATAAAAAAAGCTTCTTTTTTGTGTGTTTTACATTAGCTTTTTCACTATATAGATCTATATTTATATAATTTACACAGGAATCAACCGTCAGACTAAAATGCCTTAGAGAAGAAATGGTCGCTAAATTTGCAACATTCACCCTGACAAATCATTGTGATTATACATGTTCTGGTCGTACAACTCTGCTTTAACTAGCCGGCCACCAAAGTATCGGCCATTTAAGGCTTCTTGTGCTGTAGAGGTTTCTGAAAGAAAAATGGAGAAATATCAATACAAAATCTTTTATTCTAAAATATATAGTTTCTAACTGTTTCTGTTAAAATATAATATACTGTATTTTCCTTTATATGTCCTATAATATAGCAAACTTAATAAAATAAGAGGATGAAATACATGCACATAGAGTATATATATATATATATATATCTGGTATATATATATATATATATATAAAAACTTGAAACTTTTCATATATCAAAAAATCCTTTCTAATCGATGCCACCACCAGAGTTCTGTTTGTACGTGTATTAGAAATTTCTGACATTAAGCAAATATCCTTCAGGTTCCATTCACCCATTGACTACAAATTTCAATGTCCACAATTGTCATTTGTGGTTGTTTTCGTATTTCTTACATCTCCTTAATCATCTTATATAAAGATTATATCTTCGAATAATTTATTTTGAAACCAAAGAAGATTACACAGGAAGGCCTCATGCTTTTCCATCTTAATGAAAGAGAATGTAGACAAATCATGACCATAGTTCATATCATCCTAGCTCAGGAGAATGATAAAAAAAAAATATTAAAGCACTAAAATATCTCGTCACGAGAGAAATGAGAGCAAGGAAACTACAAAAGACTAAGAAGTTTCTAAAACCAAAAATAGTAATAGTTATCCACAGTATTAATGGAACAACTTTACCACAGAGAGTGGGTGAAAAAAATAATGAAAAGAAGTGAAGAACGTTTCTGCACGATCCAGATTTTTATTAAAATATCCTGATTCATATGTTCTAGGCATGTACATATGCCTTAGGGAGTGTGCATGACAATCATGTTATTATGTATCACCCTGGTCTCTTTACTGCATATAGTGCATAACATGTTGAAAGGATTTTGCACACACTGTATAAAAAAAGACAAAAGGCCTACTTAAATACCATTTATGTGAATGCAAAACTGTTTTTTCTTGGACTAAAATGTTTATTCATTCTTAATAACTGAGTTTGGAAACAAGGGATGTAACAGCTTACCATGGGGATTTGCAAACTCCACAAAGATTTTGACGATGACTTCTGCATCTTCTTCATCAGACTGCCTTTCTTGATAGATAATGACATGGTTGACAGTTCCAAATCGTCCACATTCTTCTGTGATTTCATCTTGTAGTTGCTCATCGACCTCTTCTGCTCCAACCATGTTGCGTAGGATTAAGACATTCGACTGGGAAGAATGAAAGGAACGTTTAATACATAAGACTCATCAACTTGTTCACTAATCAAACAGCATATTCTCCCATCCAATAAAAATAACTTCAATTAAGGCAAGCAGTAACTCACTCACCTCAGCTTTTCTCATTAGCTTTTGCATAACAAGATGTCGAGCAGACTGTCCTTTAATTGACATGGTTTCCTGCTGTTGTAATGTTTGTGGCTCATTGTCTTCCATCAACTTCTTGGCCAATTCTTCTTGATGAGTGGGCTTGCGATCTTCACCAACAGCAGATGCATTTGAAGTTGAGCTCGGAGTTGATCCCGCAACACTTGGCGTCGAAGCATTTGAAGTTGCAGAGGGCAATGGGGCTGGAGAAGATCCTGAGGATCCAGGAACAGGTAGAGATGTGAGGACTGTTGGAGGTGGAATGGCAGTCCCAGAAGAGCTGGACGTCCCTATGTTGGTTGGCAGGCTAGTGACCACACCCACAGGAGGGACAGAAGCAACAGGTGGTGTTCCTCCAACAACACCCACAGGTGGCACTGTTACCCCCCCTGGGGAAACACTGCTTACTGACCCTATGGGGGGTACACTACCAACTACACCCACAGGGGGTATCTGGGACATTGAGTTGGGAGAGCTACTTAGACCCTGAACTAGGCCAATTGCATTTGTTGCAAGGGCATCCATAGCTTGAATCTTTGCAGTTGCAGCTGCAGCTGCCACTGCTGCTGCAGTTGGCATTTGTGTTGGTGCTGATAGGGGACCCTGAAATTCAGAAGAATCATCTAGAGCTACAACTGCACAGTTTCTCAGAAGGACAATATAGTAGATTTATATAAGGTATTTTATACAAGCTTTAAAACAGAAAAATTGACAGTAACTTACATTAACACCAAAACTCACATAACATGATCCTGGAGGAGTAATTGCTTTCCCAACACGCAAATACTGTCCACCCAAGTCAAATAAGTTCATGGAAGCTATGGCTTCCTGTGCAGATTGTGAATTCTCATATTCAATAAAGCCATAGCCCTTATGTTTGCCAGGTGTAGTTCCTGGAGTTAACATACATTGCTGAAAGAATCGAAGTTTCATTAACAAACAAGAGTAGAGAAAGCATATAAAAGAGAAAGAAAGAGAGAAAGAGAAAACAGAGAAAGACAAGAGCGACGGAGGGGAGAGGAAGGGGAAGGGAGAGAGGGAGGGATGGAGGAGAAAGGGGAGGGAGGGATGGAGGGAGGAGGGGATGGCGAGAGTCGAGGGAGGGAGGGAGAGGATTGGAGGGGGAGGGAGAGGAGAGAGACGAGCAAGAGCGAGAGAGAGAGGAGAGAGAGAGAGAGAGAGGAGAGAGAAGAGAGAGAGAGAGAGAGAGAGAAGAGAGAGAAGAGAGGGAGGGACGGGAGGGGAGGAGGGAGGGAGGGAAAGAGATAGAGAGAGAGAGAGAGAGAGCAGGAGAGAGAGAGAGAGAGAGAGAGACGAGAGGGAGGGAGAGAGAGAGAGAGAGAGAGAAGAGAGAGAAGAGAGAGAAGATGAGAGAGAGAGAATAAAAAAAACTGCAACAAAAGAAATGTTAAAATGAAAAGAAATGGTATTCAAAGTAACTAATTTTCCCTAAATCTAGGGGATATTGAAACAATTGTCTCAACTTTCAATAAGCTCATTTTACAGTTTAATACTTAATTCTATCATAAACACATTACAATAACTACAGGAAAAAATTGGAGGTGGTGTTGGTGTTGGTTGTGGTGAAGTAGTGGTGGTTGTGATGTGGTGGGGGGGAAAAATATAAAAGAAAAAGAAAAGAATAGAAAAAAAAAAAAAACAAAAAGAAAGAAAGAAAGAAAGAAAATATATATATATATACATGATTAAATCAATTCAGCTGCATGAGGATCAGACTTACCTTAATTTTGCCAAAGGCTTCAAACACACTCTTGATGTCAGTCTCAGAAAGGTCTTGATGGACAGAAGCGATGTAGATTCGGTTGTAATAATTTGCCTCCTCTGTGATCTCATCTATCACCGTCTGGGCCTGAAAACAAGCAAAGGAGACAGCTGTAGACAACATATAAGCAAGATTTTACACGCACCTGCATGGAGAAAGCACAGAGAATTCCATTGCATACTTTCCTGGTGACACAAGTTACCCAGTTTTGATGCTTTTTATGTGAGACGTATCAGTATTCCCGACCACCTATTAATTACTAAGACTATGCTGACTACATGAAAGCACAAAATATGTGGTAAAGCGATGTCAAAATATATATTTCAGTGCAATTTCAAAGCTGAAACAAAAAATGAGAACAAAGACTGTAATAATTTTAAAAAGGGAGACTTTCAAATACTTTAAAACTTAAATTTTCCTTGTATGTGTAACAAATAAGTCTGTGATCCTTAAAGGTCATTGAAGATAACAAAGAAACCAATAAGTATAGAAATAAATAAAAGAGATTACCAATTAAATAAATGCTTGATCTGGCAATCAGCACCACACAAAATATCCTTGTTCTTTCAGCTTTCCAAAATAACATAGGTTAATGCTTTATCAACACAGGGCAAGTGACATTTTAATTTGATTGTATTTCACAACAAAGCATGACAAATGACACCATTCAGAACGACAGTCTTCAAAAAATACCATAATACTTGCACCATCAGTTGTCCTTGTTATTAGCTGTCTCGGTTGTGCAACATCACAGGCACTATGGCCCTGTGCTGTCGACCAATTCTGTCAATGGCAAGTAAACTATAAATGCTTATGAATTCTTCACTCATTAACATGTCAGGACTTGCTAAAATTTGTGCTGAGCCCTTTAACAAATATTCAAACTATCATTTGTGACAGGACAAACACAGGATCTTAGTATTTACAGACATTCTGCATCCTAAAATCTAGGCCCCGGAAATCCAAGTATAAAATCCCAACTTTATACACAACTTTTCATCACGTTTTTAGCTAAATATATATAAGAAAGCTCATTGTTCAAGAAAGCATTTTCTGTGAATCCTCATTATCCATATTACGATTCAGATGTATATTTACTTCAAAATATTCCCAAATCACCTCCTCTTTAACATAAATGCCACCCACCAAAACCTAGTGAAGTTTTAAAAATCAGATTTTATATTCTCTTTGATTCTTGGAATTGAAACGTGAATATTATTTACCCTCCCCACCCATCAGTACTGACACGGAATGCAATTGGACAAGGAGGGACATATTATTCATCAATTTAGAGTAAAAAAGTTAAAGTATATTTCAAAACTATCATTATCAACCTAATGTTTTAACCCATAAACTGCTTAACGCCTCTTCATTACCTAGTCAACAATATGTTGTCTTCTGTTTTCACATGATGCCCATAATCCTGACTAACTTACAACCCTTTATTTTTTTGCACAGGTCTTTTTTTCACATTGGCAACATTGTCTGTTTGACAGTACTGTAATTTCATCCTTTGTATCCAATAAGTCCTTCACTTGATGTCTGTGAAAAACATAGAATGTTTTGCTATGCAACATGGCCTTACTAATAAGTATAAGCAAAACAGGCACTCTGCAGTTTAAGGGTTAAGATAAGTTCACTTTTTAGCAGTTTCATTAACACAAATGAATTTATAACTATGAGCAAACATACAACCTTTATGTAAATTTTAATTTCTGTCACCAAAATGAAAGACAATTTCCATGATTTAATACGCAATCATAGCCAATTACAGCATGTGTCATCAGATGCGCCAAGTTCATATATCTAATACTTTGTTGATGATATCCACAATATTCTCCTAATAGCAAAGCTATACACTTATACTCAATTTTAGTAAAACTAAATCACTTACTCTACCCTTTTTTTAACAATCAAACCACTTCTTTCATACGAAATTACGATTCTGCAATTTTTCAGTTTTTCCATAAAATTCCTTCAAAAGACTTTAAACTATGGTAAAGATTTTTCAGCCAAAGCAACAGCAATTGCAGAAGCATTGCTTAGTAATGAATGATTTTGAAAAAAAAAAAAAAAAAAAAAAAAAAAAAAAAAAAAAAAAAAGTTTGACAATATCAACAAGAGACTGCCTTTTCATGCCAGCCTTACATTGATATTTCCGAACCCCAAAACCTCTTTTCCACCCTACTTCAACGACAAAGACATATGCAACAAAAATTTGTGAAAAAAGTTCCCATAATTCACTATGATGCACAGTCTGCTAGATAAGTCATGTTCCACTAGGATTTTGGTCTTCAGACTAAAATCAAGTACCTGGCACCTGAATCTAGCTTGGGAGACAAGTATTTTTTTTTTTAACCATAGTGAAGATTTTATTTTGTCAAAGCAACTGCAGTACCAGAAGTAAAGCTGAATAACTAAACTGAACACCTGACACTATGCTTAGTCTATCTTCAAGACAGAGAGTAAATTTACTCCCTCTTCTTTGTTAATGCCTAGTATCATTTACTTTATTTTTTAAAGTCTTACTGGAATTGACTTTTTTATGTCAGTCCCATCCCACTGCTCCACTATAAGCAACGACAAATTGAACTCTGGATTCTTGTGGTTTCTCAATATTTTTGTTCTTGTCCAATCATAAAAGCAGAGGCGTCAGGCTTCAGTTAATATTTCCAACCCACAAAACATCCTTTTCACACAAAACAAAGTGAGATACAATTTATATTTTGAAGACATTTTTTCTTTAACCATATTATAGCTTTATAGAGGAGGGAAGAGAGAGGAGGAGGAGGAGAGGAGGAGGAGGAGGGGGAGGAGGAGGGAGAGGAGGGAAGAGGAAGAGGAAGAGGAAGAGGAAGAGAAGAGGAGAGGAGAGGAGGAAGAGGAGGAGGAGGAGAGAGAAGTAGTAGAAGAAGAAATAGAAGAAGTACAAAGTAGGAAGAAGAAGAAGAAGGAAAAAGGAAGAAGGAAGAAGAAGAAGAAGAAAAGAAAGAAGCTAATTTCAAAAGAAGAAGAAGAAGAAGCTAATTTCAAGTGCAGAACAAACTGACTGCACACACAGCAAGGCCTTGTTAATATAATATGCTTTCCCTCAAGGTAGCATGTGATCAATCATACTGAAACAAGAAAACGAAGTCCAAGATGGCTACTTTACTTAAATTTACACAGATGTGATTTAAATGATGTGTTATTATAATCGTGCTCAAGATAAAGACTTTCAGTAGAGACTTATGCACAAAGGGCTGTCCATCCCTGTCTTTACCTCAGTCATTTTTGCTGTAAAAGTGTACACAGCCAGCAAACTTCCATGCCATACTGGATCTGCCAGTGTTGTCCATGTGCAGACCCCAAATGAGAGCCAGCATTTGGGTTTCTGGTTTTAATCACCACCTCATCACAATAGGCCTGTGTTCAGTCAACAAAAACACTGACAAAACTCAAAATCTTGACAATCTACAGCTTCCTCAAAATGTAAGGAATCTTCTGTATAATGCAGCTAATCTCTCTTTCCCTTTATTGTGTGGGAAATAAATCATACCTTTTTATGACAAGTGGCATACATATACCTTCTACAGTTGTCTGAAGACTACCAAAGAGAGAGAGTGTTTATTCAGGACTATATTTTTTCATGGTTGCTACAAAATAAAAATCAATTGCTATCAATCAATTCCAAACCATACAATGTTGAAACACTGAATGGCTTGGAATAAACCCATTATAGCAGTTGACCTCACAAGTCTTTTTTTGGTTTGTTTTGTTACATCTTTAAGGGTTTATGAGACTATCAGTATGAAAACAAATCAAACAGTGTGTTGTCTTTGGTTGGTGATAAAATACTCACTACCAATCACACTGCATATAATGGTATTTGATATTTTCTTACATTTTCCATCATATGCAGGGTTATCTATTTATCCATTTTTTTCATTCAATACCAACTTCTTTCTTTCATTCATTCACCTAGTTGTTGCCAATAACTAATTCGCTATCCTTTTGTTTGTTTATAAATTTCAAAATGGTGGTCACTTTCTAGTGCACTGCAGAATTATAAAATCATTTTAGTAAGTGAAGATGTCTCCATACTTTCCTTTTTCACTCCTGTTCTTGTCTATTTACTTTGCCCTCTTTCACTTTTCAGCCTTTAATTAGAATTGCACAAAGAAAGCCAAGGAAACGCAGCCATAGTGCGTATACTTTTGTTTCTCTTTCCTGAAGTGCTGTATTGTATTCTCATAGTCACACAATTTCATTTTGCAATTAAACAGATAAAATAAGTGAACTCCTATATGTCACTTGCCCTTAATGTAAATAACACAGGATTCTCTTCCACTGACATGCTTTACAAATTATATAAAAAGAAAAGAAAATAAAACCATTAAAAATAAACAAACGGTAAAGCTTTCAAGTTGCAAATCCGCATGCATGTAAAAGAATCTGCAGTGTCAAAATCTCATACACAACAGGAAGACAAACCTGAGGCATGTTTGATGGGCGTCCGACTTTTATGTTGCGGCCTCCAATCATCACCCCATTCATCTGTTCCAAGGCAAGCTGTGCAGCCTCTGGCATCTCATACTCAACAAACGCAAATCTGTAAAGAACACCACGGATTAGTTAATCTAAAATCATAGAGCAAACCCTACAAAAACTCAAAACAAATACTTCAAGGAATGGATTCTAAATATACTGCTACAAAATAACCTGCCAACCTTACCCCTTGTGCTTCTGTGTCACTGGATCCCATGACATGTTGATGGATTTGATTGGACCAAATGGAACAAAAGCTTGACGTATAGTATCTTCTTTTAGCTCAAAGCTGATGCTCCCAACGTACACACGGCACATCAACACCAGAGCTTGATGTCTTTGTAGAGACTTCGCTTGCTGAAAAGGATAATGCTAAGTAAATACTACAAACATCACACATATTGATGCCATTAAAGATATTTTTTTTTTTCTTTTTTTCTTCTCATCACTATTCACTTCTTTGATGGTTCTCATGGTTAACCCTCCTAGGGATGACATGCATATTCATGCTATGATCACTGCAATTTTAGGTTACAGTAATTACACAAGTCCTCAAAGAGTTAATTATTAGCCCTAATTAATTCACCTGATTACTCTTTGCCCTTTTTTTCTCTCTTTGAAGTGTTGTTAATACTGTCATAATGATCATGAGAATAATAATAATAACAGGAGAGTCCGGGCAGAGTCCGGGCCAGCCCCACGCACCGATTTTGTAGCCACACGGAATCTTTTATTTTCAGCTTCAAAATATACCGGCGTTAATGGATTAACAGAACTAGTAAAAAAAAGTCTTAAGGATATCTGTAATCATGTGAGGTCATGTGACCCTAATAATTATCTCCTCAGTGTCTGAGCACTTGCAGCACCATCTTTGTGTAA